CAGTTTACATCTGGTTTTGACTTAAAGATTTGAAAGATTACCCTGATTACATTTCTCATACAGCTTCTAATATGTAACTTTTTTACAACTGGTACTGCTGCTACTATTAAGTGAAATGGATTGTGCAGAAGATGTTGTGGAGAAGGCACAAGTCACCTGGCAGCTATGCTTGGGCAGTGCTAAGGTACACACACTCCTTATGGCTACACTCAAAAAGGCAAAATATTGTTCCAAAGAGTGCCTCAGTCTTTGTGGTGCCTCAGTCTTAAATGGTAGAATAAATTACCTGGATTTTAAGCTCTCCTTCATCATCTAGGGCAGCTCCATCCCACCAACCCTCCTAGCTTCCTCAGGGCTCATATTATTACTGTTTACCAGCTCTTACATAACTCTGTTGTTTCTGTTGCCCGTCACATGCATCACTGATTGCAATCTCAGAAAGAAAAGGGGAAACAAAAATAATAAATAAAAATAGAAACAAAAATAAGCTCCCTTGGTACCGGGGAACATGGAAATCTTAGGAGCTTGGCATAAAACCTGGCACATGTAGTGACAGCGTCTGATGCTGGCAGCGGAATGAAATATTGGGACCACGTGAAAAAGAATAAAGGAAAGAACATTCCCTCCGTAAAAATACCCTATATATATGTATATGTGTATATATGTATGTATGTAAAGAGCCACCATGCTAACTAAGAAAACAATGTAGTCTTAGGGGGAACGCGTCAGGGACCGTACCTGCGGGTGACGCGTTATTAAGGAAGGACCCCTCCAAAAGATATCATGTTCCCCGCCACCCCGGGATGAGATCCCTTTGTCCGTGCCCGCTCCCGCGGTGAGCGGCTGGCGCTGCCCTCACCCGGGCGAGCCGCAGTGCCCTCGCTGCCCACACGCCGCGCCTCGCTGCTTCAGGGCAAAAACAAACACGGGCTGAACAACAAAGGGCCGCGCTGGCGGCGGCCGGGCCGCTCCGCCGGGGCGCAGAGCGGCCGAGCACGCCCCCGGTGCCGCCCCCCGCTCCGTTCCCACAGGGGCTGCCCCCTCCCGCCCCCTGGCAGCTGCCATGTGTCTGTTCAAGTGCGATTAACACCGACCCGCCAAATCCCCCACCCCCCGCTTCCCCTTCCCGGGCCATTTGGGGCATGCACGCGCCCGCGCCCCGTGTTTACACGGCGGCGCCTTCGCGCGGAGCCTTTTTGTGGATGGCGCTGGCAGATGAGCCGGGGGAGGTGGGGGCTCCGCGCCGCGCAGCGCCCGCCGCCACCGGCTATAAAAGCCTCCGGGCCCGCAGCCGGCAGGGCCAGGCGAGCCGCCGCGGACAGGCGGAGGATGGAGGGTGGCAGCGTGGAGTGCGCCTGCCCCCGCCCCCGCCCGCTCTCGGCGGCGCTGCCCCCGCAGGGGTACTCGCGCCTCTCCTCCTCCCCCCGGTGCGGGGGGCGGCCCGGCCCTGCCCTGACGGCCCTGCCCTTGCCCTGCAGCCCGGCGCCCTTCTGGAGACCATGGTTGCCCGCGCCGGGCGAGGCGGCCCCGCGGAGCGACCCCGGCCCCGCAGCGGTGAGTGTGGCGGGGGCGCGGCGGAGCCTCTGCCGCCGGCATCGCCGCAGGAACGACGGGGGAGTCTCGGCGGGGTGGGGATGCTCGGGGTGGGGATGCTCGGGGTGGGGATGCTCGGGGTGGGGATGCTCGGGGTGGGGATGCTCGGGGTGGGGATGCTCGGGGTGGGGATGCTCGGGGTGGGGATGCTCGGGGTGGGCCTTGTGCCGTGCCGAAGGGCTGACCTCTGCTCTCTCCTCCTCAGCCTCACGGCCCCGGCGGGCTGGCGGACGCCTCCCGAAAAGTGGCGCAGTACACGCACCCCGTCAGGTAAGTGGCTGTTCGGGCCGCCGCCGGTCCCCGCGGGGGAGCTCTGGGCACACGGGGCCCGCTGGCGCTGCGCGGCCAGGAGGAGAGTCCTTTGCTCGGCAGCGCAGTGCCGCACCGCTCGATCTCCCGCCCCTTTTGTTTCCACCCATATATTTTTGTATATATTAAAGTCCCTGGGGAGTGAATTGGCCATCTATGTGCTTTTGCACTGACTGCTCGTTGGGCCAGTGATTGCCAGCATTTGTGAATTTGACATCTTTGAGGTGTTGATGTGCTTCTGTGGTGTGGGATTTGACATGCTACGCAGTTATGTGGGCGTTTTTTGTGGTGGCGGAGTTGGCTGAAGCCAGCTACTCATTCCTGGGCCCAGGATTAAAAAAGGAACGGGGGTGTAGTTCCTAGGCTGTCTTGCTGTGCAGACATTCAGCGCCCTCACAAACCAAGAAAGCAGGTACAGGCACGGGAGAGAGTGGCAGGCAGAGAGGGTATGGACTGTCTAAGCAACCATTGCGAAGGAAAATACTTGTGTAACTACTGCTTTAATGATGAAGGTAATGATAGTATCTGCACTGTAAGTTTTGAAAAGGAAATGATGAAAATAACTACAGTTGAATCTGCAGGAGAGTCTACATTCAGAAATACTAATAGGTGTCAAGAGAGGCTTAAAGTAATTGCACAGGTAGTTCTTCCAGACAAGATGCAGCTTTCTCCCAAATCTGGGTGCTGATCCTTCAAATACTGATGCACAGATTAAGCAATTGCACAGGCTTACTTCACTGTGACTGCTCCAATACTTAGGTATGAGTGAATTCTGCTGCAGGGAATGAACACGTTACAAAGCTGGTGTCAGTTACTTTGTGCTGAAAAGAAAAGCAGTGTTCTGTTAAACAGTAGCCTAGAAAGTATTTCTTGTGATTGCTAGAAAGCTGTCTAGTTCTGTATCTTTAAGCATTTCTATTATAAACAATCTGTAGTCAGCATTTCATTATGTTGCAGTGTGCTAGTCTCTTGGCTCATGGGACTTCCATGGTCTGTTTCTTCTAGCTATTTCCAAACTGCAAGTAAAAGAGGATGTTAGTTGAAAAGGAACAGGAACTGTGGAGTATATTAATTGCAATGTATTATCACTAGCTGATAGCCCTTGTCAACTATGATATCACCAATTTTTGGTAGTTTCTAGATACAACACAGACTACTTTAAAATCTAGATCCACGGGGCATTCTTCAATAGGGAGTTTCTTGGAAATATCTTTCCTTTCAGTTTGGGATTTGTTTCACACCATTGTAAACAACTATCTAGGCTGGAGACCTTCATTAAGGAAACTCTTAATTTAATCCAAATATATTTTGGATTCTGTTTGACACCTATTATATTCTCTAGGAATAGTTCCAGTTGGGGCAGTACTACTTGAATCAGATCCCTGGTAATACTGTTAATGAGGTACTGGAGTGTGAAATTTCACATACGTTGGATCTTGGGCTTTAGGGTAGTTTTGCTGCAAATCTAGCACTTCAAGTGCATCTTTATGTCTTCAGATGAAAATACAGAATCCAGGGAATGTTTTTTGTTTTTTGTTTTTTTTTTTTCCTAATCATATGTAGAAAGTGATTTAGTAATTGACCACGTGAGGAAAAGGATGCTTGTCTTAACAGAATTTCACTTTGGTTTCTGCCAGCCACCACATAAAGTATGTAATAACCATAAGCAAATCTATTGTATACTTGTTTCAGACTATTTTGGCCCAAATCAAGATGCTATGATTACTTGTATCAGGAAGCTGAAGCACTTCTGAAAAACTTTCCAGTTCAAGCTACAATTTCCTTTTATGAAGACTCAGATAGTGAAGATGATGAAGATGAACTGGAACAAGAATCAAGAACAGAATCAGATTGCTGATTGCAGGGAAGGCCAATGCCACTTCTAAGACTTAATTTAAACTTAATATAAATATGTATTATAGTATTTTTAAATATAATTTATTTCTATGTAAGTTATTCTTAATAAAACTGAGATGTCTTATAATTTAACTGAGCTTTTTCCTTTGTTCTATTCCTGTCCTGGTCTAGGCAGGGAATGTATTGATTAGTATTTTTATCTGACATTCTATGTTTTGTTGACCATAACCTGAACACCAATTTTAGGAGCAGAGAACAGATGCCTTGCTTTTAAGGGCTCTATGGTTATTTGACTTTGTCAAAGTCTGAGGACACAAGGAAAGCTTTCCATGGTGATTTAGTAGGCTCCATATGGAAGTGTATCAAGGAATCATTGGATTAAGTATTCTAATGTGCTTGCTGTTACAACAGAGTTCCAAACATGGAGAAGAGAAATAATACAGCTGTTTTCTAAACGGAGAGAAGACTCCAAATTCTACTCTAGGTTTTGATTTTTGAAGAAGGTGTTTGGCTTAAGTTACTCATACCCTCATGTACATGTACTGTATTGTTATACATGATAGTTTCCCACTGCATTTGTTTGTAAAGTTGACAACAAGAAATGAGAAAAAGGCCTACTGTGATTTCTTATTGTGAGTTTGGTTTTAATAATTGAAGCAAAGTTTGGTACCAGTCATCATGAAGGCTAAAGGCCCTAAAAGAACAATACCAACAAAAATCCAAAATTTTAAGTTGAACACCAGTGCCTCTGTCAGGTAGAGCTTTTGTACATACCTGGATATACTCTTGCCCGAGTGCTGCGTGTGTCGCTGCAGGCGGGGCTGGCTCAGCGTGCCAACAACATCGCTGGAGTGGCTGCCCCATCACATCTGCTCCCAAGGGACCCGATGCAGGAACGAATCGGGCCCTCATACACAGCCGGGCTCAGCATTTAACCTCCAGGGCGTGGGCAGCAGCAGCTGTGTCAGTCACGACAACCTTCCAGCTCGAGACCTTGGCGCTGGGAGACCTGGACGTAAAGCCAACCTTCGAGCGAAGGGAGGCAACCCCCGGCGGTGTACTCGGTACACGCCGCTCTCTCCCCGCATAAATGTCCAGCCCCGGGAGGTTCCCACCGATCCGACCCCGAGCCGGCGCCGCCGGCCCCGATCGCGGCCCGGCCATCCCTGGCCACCGCCCGGCCCCGGCCCCGCCCGGCGCGGCGGAGCCTGCGCGCTGTGCCGGAGCTCCGCCCGCCCGCGGGAGCCCGGCCGCGGCCTGGGCCGGCAGGATGCTGAACGTGCCGCCGCCGGCTTTCCCCGCGCCCAGCTCCCAGCAGCGGGCGGCAGCGGGCGGCCGCAGCAAGGTAGGGGCAGCTTGGCCGCCGACAGTCTCTTTGGGGGTGGTGAAGGGCCCCGGCGCTTTCCCTGCGTTGGTGCCGCCTGCATGGCCTGGCCCCGCCCGGCGGGGCTGTGTTGGCTGCCGGTCGGTTCCCGGCTGCCGCCGGACACTGCCCTGGAGCGGTCTCGTACTCCAGCAGCCGCCGAGGGACCGCGGCAGGGCCCCGGGTGAGAGGCCAGCTCAGCCATGTCGCTGGAAAACACTTGGTACTTCTCGTTTGAAGGCGGTGGTGGTAACGCTTCCTGCGCTGCCGGCCCGGGCTGTTCGCCCTGTGCAGAGATGGAGACTTTCAGCCTGGAATTCCTGCGTGCAGCTTATGCTGTATATGTTGTGTCTTCATCCTTGGGGGCGATTTGAGAACACTTGTTGTCTGCAGACCTCACTTGGACAACAGACTTGTACTTAGACTGAGGTAGCATTAAGCGGTGTGGGTCTGTGTATGCTATAGGGTTTTTTTGCTTCTGTTTTTCCTGTAGTTTTGTAAGTCCAGGATTCTTTAAACGTTTTTCTGCTGTTAAAAGTTTGGATCAAAGGGGTTCACAATCTGTGGTGGTGTTGAAAAGGCACGTGTTAAACATCCTGAAGATCTTGCTCTGCTTTTCAGGGCAGGCCATGGCCTCTGGTAAGCTACTAGACTTCAGTCCCAGCTTTCTCTGGGTGAGTTTTCCAGTGGCTTTAGGGCTTGTGGAAAGTCTTTATGAATGCTGTGAAAGTGAGCTTTCCAACCTTGTCATACCTTATGATGATTTTCAAATTTTCCTTCTTTGTTGCTTGTAGGTTTATAGGCCATATCTCAAAACGATGCTGATAAAAAATTTTTACTGCCACAGACAGACTTCAGTTTGCTTTGGGAAGAGTCTGAATGTTTGGTGATGTTCAATAATTTCTGTATATGGGTTACTACCCAGAACACTTCCTTAAGCACCCTTACTACTGAGTAGGACTCCCAAATATTAATGAATAATATGAGTTAGGTTATTTCCTTTTTGTCTGAGTACTCCTAAGGAGCTTAGAAGAGTGTATTTAATGGCTTTTTCTTCCTTTAGAGTTTAGCGATGTTTGTACATTTGTTATTTTTCAGGTACCTTTAAAACCAGGAAGGAGTCTTATGGATTGGATTAGATTAACTAAAAGTGGGAAGGACTTGACTGGTCTGAAAGGGAGGCTGATTGAAGTGACCGAAGATGAGCTTGCTAAGCACAACAAAAGGGAGGACTGCTGGATATGTATAAGAGGTTGGTTGTTGTGATATTGCTTCTGCATTTGTTACCTAGCTTCCCTTTTCTGTACTTAAAGAAGAAGCAACAAAAGCCATACTCAAAACCAAACTATGTACCTTCAGTGTTTAGACCAGGTGTAATCTTGACATAATTGGACACAACTCTCTTTGACTTGGGGATTTTGTATCAGAAAGATATTCTTTGCTTTCAAACCTTTCATAAGAAGTGTTTCAAGTGGGCATATTTTATACCTATTTTATATCTGCAAATGAAAGTGATAAAACACAAGATTGTAGGCAATGCATCAAATAACAAGGGCTTAGCAAGAATAAGACATTGAAAATGCTGGCATGTAGTTACACTCCTCAGTCTTGGACAGTTTATTATCTTTTGCAGTTGATTGGTTTTAGTGATTGCTTTAAAGCATCCAAATATATATAAATATTAAAAATGTTTCCTAAACCAGTAGAGTGGTCTTTGGAAAATAATTGTGCAAGGCCCACCCACTGCTTCATAAAACTTAGCAATGCAAATGACAGTTGCCATGTAAGGCAGTTGTAATCTACCTAGCGTAACAAATATCTGTGTAACTATGCTATTCTATTTATGGTATTATTTTAGTTAAATGTTAGCTCAAAAGTGGAAAGTGTTATAAGTTAAAAGTGGATAAAAGATGGCCTGGAGCAATAGCTGTGGCTAGAAGAGTATTTTCAGGGCTGCAAGTGGAGTTCCTAATTGTCCTACAGAAAGGAGTAAAATCTTTGCTCTCCAGTTTAATCATCTAGAGGCTAAAATACATTAATACTGCCTTAAATTTGTTAGGAAATAACAGCACAGGTAAGGGGATCAGCATAGCTAATGTGACATTTCTGTAGGAAGAGTGGTTCTTTTAGTGGTAACTTTGATCTGGTAAGGAACAGCATTGATATTTGATATAATGTCATGTCTTAACTTCAGCAAAAGGCAGTTAAGAATTTCCCTTGGAGGGTGACTGTTTTTGTTGGGTGTTAAAGGGGATGAGCGTGAAAGTAAGGGTAAAATGTCATTCAGTACTGTCCTTTGGACAAAATAATAGGATTGTTAATGGTCCGTGTTGCTCTTGCACGTGCTAGCAAAACTATAGTGGGAGGAGAGCTAAAGAAAGCTTGTTTAGTAAGGAGATCTGTTAATTTTTCTCTCTGAAAGAGGGCCATGTACTACCGCAGACAGAATTACTGCTTAAAATGCTTTTGTTTTGGTTTTGGTCTCATATTCTTCCTTGAATGCATCTCTAAGGTTGGTTTTCACAAGAACTCTGTCAAGCTGCTTCTGTATCTTTCTTTAAATTTTTCCGTCTCTGCTTTTCCTTTGTTCTCAGACAACTAATATAAAAACATCATAACTGAGAATCCTGGTAGATTATCTGTAGACCTCATATGTGAACAAGTAGTAAAATAACATAATTGTGTAAAAGCTAAATGAGGTCTGTGCAGTCATAGTTAGACTGTGTCTCTAAAGAGCAGAAATTCATGAGAAGAATGTGAAGTAAAACAAGAACAGAGTTAACTTTGATCAAAAATCTAATGTGATAATCATCAAAGAAAGCTGTCATATGTGCCCCAAATTTATATATGAAAAGGGATGGCAGGGGAGTTAAAAAAAGCATGAAGAGTATAGAAATGAGACTTCTTTTGCATCTGCAAGTTTGATGATCAATTTGACTAATATTCGGGAGGTCTTACCTCTGTTGATACTTATGTTTTATTGTGTGCAGTAATCGGTGCTGCACACAAGATGGCACAGTGAATACAGCCATCAGAAGAGCAGGTCAAAAAAATATGCAAAGATCCTTCCTTTTTTGATTGGGATGGTTGTTCTTTTCAACTAGGATTGTCCCAAGTATGTCTCCCCTAGCTCAGTGTTGAGTGCCTGTCTCTCCTTCTGATGTAATTAACGTGCACTTCTTAATATCTTAAAAGCTCCTTCTGAAAGTACTGGCATAGTTCTACTTTGGGTAGCTTCCTGTTTTGATAATGTTAAATATGTTAAACTATTCTGCTAGGTAGGCCTGTAATAATCATGTTAACATGTAGTGAAATCTGTTTATAGCTGAATTTTTCAGATTCTAGTTATCCTGGTTGCATAGCAACAGTAATTAGAGTTCATCATTTCAGACCTGTGAAGAAACATTGTTTTATCTCTCTGGAAGTGTAGAAAGAATGCTGACTCCTTTTACTGGGACAGATTTTGTACCAGAGGTGCAAGCCTTTAATGAGCATAAGCTGTGTTAATTTCTTATATTGCTGAATCTGAAGAATGGAAGTTTTCTTGCTGATGGTGACAGTTTTTCCTTATGGAAGACAGTTTATTCCTTTAGGCATTTTATTCCATAGATGATGGGTGGTAGGGAAACAACTATGACAAGAATTCAGGCATAACTTAATTGGAAGGGAGAGTGAAAATAATTCCATACACTAGCTGGCTCAATTTTATGTCTTTGTTAAAACCAGCCTCAGGTTCTTTTACCCCCTAGCTAGGATACATCATGTTCAACTTCTAGGTTGAAGTCTTGGCCCAGCAGTTATCTTCAGACATTCACTGGGAAAAGTGGTATAGCATTGTAGGATTGGCATCTCTGTATAATAAGATACCTCTTGTGCCCTACACAATTGTGTAGCTTATGTTTCTGTTTTTGCAAAGTCACACTATTTGTTCCAAAAATGTCTAGTGTTTGCCTTTACTCTTTAATGTGTGCTAACCTTTTCACTGGTTTTGGAGATAAGAGGCATCACAGAAATGTTGCTCATGTTTTTATATTCCACTTTTTTCAGGATTTGTATATAATGTCACACCATACATGGAATATCATCCTGGTGGTGAGGATGAACTAATGAAAGCAGCAGGAACTGATGGTACAGATCTCTTTGATCAGGTGAGAACAACTGGCAGCAAATGACACTTACTGTATTGTGAAGAATGCATGTTTTCTGATTATTTTTAGGGCATTCCAGTGGAAATGGTGATTTTAACTTTTTCAGTCCTAAGGAAAGGCAGTGGGTTACTGCTCAGAATGACACATGTGCTGAAAGAGTTTAAGCTTTGTACCAAAAGACACTAATGAAAATACCACTTTTATGTTGTTGGAATGATGCTTCAATTAGACCATTTTTTTTAGCAGAAGTAGCAATAAAGCTAGCAAGAACTTGAGATACCACCTTCTTAATAAATTGCTACAGTGACTAATTGCTGTAATTTGAGAGACCTTTTTTCCTCAGAGCTTTCACTTTTCAAAAAATGCTTCTAGAATTGTCTATTCACTTGGCAACTGTATTATCAGAAACAATGATGGAGCTGCTATTAAGTGGTTGTGAACAAATCACAAGATGACAGTTGGTCTCTTCTTTGTTTACTGTTTCTTTAAATATTTTGAAAACACTCAGAAAATAAAGGGTCTGCAGCATGGGTGTGCTTTCTGCAAGGAATTGCTTGCAAACTTGGTGTTGTTCTAAAAGCTGATTCACTGAGTTGGTATTTTTTAGAAACAGACATTCTTTGAGTCTCCTTGACTCATTAGGTTTATCTAATAAACTGAGAAAGAGCAGAAAGAAAGCCTCATCTGTTCCTGAAAGAAATCTGCTATCTCCTTATATGTTGTGCATCAGAGTATGTCATGCCTTTATTTGCAAAATGTTTTTAACAATGTAAAGATGTGATAATGTTTTAGCTTTGAGTTTGTCCTTGGTTAGTCCTTTCACAAATGAAGTGTTAGATTTGGGCATAATTCTTTGATTTCCATATATATGGAGTTTTTCTCCTAAAAGTTCATCCAGTATCAAGTTGTGACCTGGAATTATGTGGCTGGGTCATTGTATGATGTACTCGGAAACAGGAGTCTTGACATCAGGAATATTTGGGAAAGCTCCTCTAGTTGTTACTAACTGCATATACATGCTTGCTGCATTTTTTTATTTTTTTTTTTTTTTTAGTTTGTTTTGTCGTGGGAATGGAAAGCAGAGTTCAGACCCTTAAAATATGCTTTTCGCTTTTATTGTTTCTGGCTGATGTCTTTCCTGTTCCCAGAGGCATTTCTGGTTTCCTCTCTGCTTTAGCATTCTGTGTCTGTTGGATATCGATCTTTTAAAGAGTTTGGTAGGTTGTTAGTGTTTCTCAAATTTTTGTGAAAATTAATTGTCATTCATAATCCTTTATTTCTTTCTGTTATTTGTGTATGAGGAAACTGTAACTTGTGGATGGGATTCTTTATCTCACCTCCTTAGGTTGTTCAGTTTGAAGTTAATTTAAGTCTAGATACCATTCAAATTTGTCATGCAACACTTTGTTTCCTTTTTTCTTCTTGTGATGTTATCCTGGATGCCCTATCAGAATTGGCTTTTCTGCCATCCATTTCCTCTGCAAGTTCTCCAGTTCTGGTCTGTAAAGCTACTGCTTTTTCTTCACTTTATTTGACTTTCTAAAATAGGTAATATCTAAATGATTCAGTGATAGTAAGACAGAAACAAACAGAAATACACCAACTTAGTAAGAAGAGTTTTTGTGTCTAAAGTATTCTTTATGTTTGTTTCCGTCATCCCTTTTCCCTTCACTTGTCTAAACAAGACTAATAACCCTTGTGGTAAAGACAAGGTTTTTATTCTGTAATTGCATAGCCTACATCATAAAAATGCTCTTCTGAAGTATATTCTGTAGCTCAAGGTAATGATGTTCTGATACTGCAAAGCATAAATAAATAAATAGTGACATTTTCATGGTCCTACTTTTTTACACTTGCTCTCTGTCATAGAAGTAAAAATAAGTACCGAATGATGCAATAATGAGTTTTAATGTGTTTAAAAATAATCTGCTAAATTAATTATATTAGTCACTGTACAAAAATGAACTTTTCTATTTCAGTGCATTGAACAACATAGTCAGATTTACCAATTTTGTGAAAAAATATTTTGTTAACATAGGTACATCGTTGGGTCAATTATGAATCGATGCTGAAGGAATGTCTTGTTGGGAGAATGGCTGTCAAGCCTATTGCTGCTCCAAAAGGTGAGACTTTTTAAGAATGAAATATTTTCTGTGATGCTTTATTCCAAATTTATCTGGAAATTATGAGAAATTCTAAATCATCATATTTATAAGGAGAAGGCTGTTGCATATATTTGGATTTTTTTGCAGCAGACAACTGAGGATGAAATGTTTTTATGAATGAAGACTTTTTAAAGTAATGTACTTCTAAGTTTCTTCTTTTAGTCATTAGAAAACAGATGTGTGTCTTATGTGTGTGTGTGTATAGAAAGAAACTTTTTCCTCTCCCTCAAGATCTCTCTTTCTTCTTCTGATCCCTGGGGACAAACTGTCATAGGCAGCTCTCATCTTGAAATAACAGTCAGTATTTTCAATCTCATGATTTCAGCAGTAGACGTATGTCTGGCAAGTTGCATATATATTGGCATATTTGAATACACTTTATGGGCAGTTATCCTTTCCAGAACACTTCATTGGGTCCTTTAGTTTGAATTTAATTAGAGAAACTTTTGCTGATACAACAAACTCTTCTGAGCCAGGACAGCAAGAAATGTAGTATATTGTCTTAAAATGCTGGTGATAGTTTCCAGATACTTTAATTTGCAGTTTTTCTTTTGGTTTGTAGGCCACAGTCAAAAACTTCCTACTATCTGGGAAGCAGACACTGTTACTCAATACTGACCCTTAGCAAAGCTGCTCTGAAAACATAGAAGAATTAATGGTTGCAACTATTTTTCTCCAATTCTGTGGCATCCTTTAGTTCACAAATTCAGCCATCCTGTAGCTCTTCAACTTCTGACAAAGTGCACTGCATACTTGCTTAGTGCTTAGGTCACATCCCCTTAGCAGTTAGGTTGAGTTTGATCTGTATATGAAGGGCAATAGTATTTTCCATCTCCGTGCTGCTAAGTAGCTAATTCCAGTGTTAAACTTTTGAGCTAAATGCTACAAAGTATGGAGAAGCCTGGACAGCATAAATGCCTCATGGAGTTGAGGCATTACACATACATTACTGCTACTTTGTCAGCTGAGTTAGAAATTTAAAAGTAAACCTGATTTTTTCTGATTTCATTAATCTAACTTTTCTGCAAGTGGAAGGAATTCTTGTGATAGCCAGTCAGTAAAACATAAACACGTCTTTTCCCCTGCCAGCTATGACAGTCCATTTCTGCTGTTCCTTTTTTCTGCTTTACTCTTTAATAGGACTTTTCTATCCATTTTGCTGTAGTAAAATTTACAGGATAAAGGTTGCCAACTGTATAAAACCAGTTCTGTTGCCTGTGTGTCTTTTAGCCATTTGAAAAAATGTAATTTCATTAATTAAGAAACTGATTACAGAAGCACAGAATCACTTAGGTTGGAAAAGACCTCCAAGGTCTAGTCCAATCTTTGACCGATCACCACCTTGTCAACTAGACCGTGGCACTGAGTGCCACATCCAGTCATTTCTTGAACACTTCCAGGGATGGTAACTGCACCACTTCCCTTGGCAATTCATTCGAATGCTTAACAGCCCTTTCCATGACGGAGTTCTTCCTGATGTCCAACCAGAACCTCCCCTGATGCAACTTGAGGCCATTTCCTGTTGCCTGGGAGAAGAGGCCAACTCCCACCTGGCTACAGCCTCCTTTCAGGTAGTTGTAGAGAGTGATAATGTCACCCTTTAGCCTCCTTTTCTCCAGGCTAAGCAGCCCCAGCTTCTTCAGCTGCTCCTCATATGACTTACTCTCTAAATCCATCACCAGTTTCATTACCTTTCCTGGACACTCTCCCGGACTTTCTGAAATTCTTCACAGTAAAATTCTCAAAGTTTATTTTATTCCTCTTCCTCTGTTGAATTTTCAAAAAATGTGATTGGCTAACTTCACTATTAGCCAGCAATAATTCTAGTCTCACATCCTTCCAGAAGACCATATTCTGCAAAGTTTGCATTTGAATAAGTTACTAAGTTAAGGTGCATGTTTTTGAATATAGGATTAAATTAAGTATAGAGGGAACACAAAACTTCAAATTAAGGATTGCATTGCTTTCTTTTTGTGACAGAAGGGTGAGTGTTTGCTAATAGGGCAAACATTGGTATTTGATGCTTGGTGCAGTCCCAATACAGAGCTAGGAAGGTAGATGTAGTTTTGTTGGAGTGTAGCTGGAAGATTTGTCGTTCAGCTTAGGTTTTGTTTCCTATGTTGTGGTGGGTTTTTTTGGAAGATGTTGTGATGATTTGCTCACTGAACTGCTTGAGAAAACTGAAGCTTGTCTTTGCACAATTGAGGTTTTTTAAGAAGAAGAGTTTTTTGAAAATACTGGTGATAGTGATTTTGCCGACTTGTATTTTGGGAATGCTGCTTTATGCTATGGTAGTGACTGACAGGAAATTCTAAAGTGTTGCTTCTGTAGTGTTACAGTGGATCTGTGCACTGAAACATGTAGTGTTTGTACATGCTGCGAAGGCCAGCACAGTACCCAGGTATGTAAGAGATGATTTCAGAATCTCTCTCAGCAAACCTGTGCAGAATTAAACTGCTTGCCTTCTCTTCAGGGTACTCAGCTGTAAACATTAGCACAGTTTGTTGTCTGGTATTTTTTAATATTGCTAATGTTTTGCATAGACACATCAGTATACGTCCCTGTATTGCTTCAGTGATTACTTAGCTTGGGAATCAGAATACATGTTGTATTATTGTTAATTCAGTCAAATTAGACTGAGAGCTGTGGTGTCATCCAAGGAAGAGAGGTAGGGCTCTGCCTTCAATATGCCTCACACGGTCCTTAAAATTGTAATGCCAGTTTCAGTGCACTGTTATAATGTAGTGAAATGAGAGTAGACTTCTGAATGCAAAAAATTACCTTTCATTAGAAACAAGTTTTTGTGAATGACTTGCTATCCTGGCAGAAAGCTTAAAGTAGTGTATAGCAGAATTTGCAGACTGATATTGCCTCAACCAAGAATTTGTGGAGAGTTTTCTTTTTACCTTATAATGGCACAACATGAAAGCCGCTAATGAAGGCAATTCTTGATCATCTCTCAATTAATTTTGCAATGCTGTATGCTTGATGCTTTGTTCTAGGAACCTTCCTTGACTTCTGTCTAGCATTTTTCCTCTAACACTGGCTGGTGTGACGCAGAGCACTGGGAAGGATTAGGAAGAACATATGAGAAACATTCCCACTTTGGTTTTTGTAAAAGGGAGCAGGAAGAACAGATTTGTTTCTCTCCCTTCCCCAAACCTGGCTGTCATAGGAAAGAATATGAAATGGACCTTCATATTGGGACATTATGAGATGTGCAATGTAGAGAAGGTCAGAAAGGGGCCTAGGTGTATCTAGAGGGCTAGTTTCCCCACAGATTTGCTGTGAACCAAAGGATATGGGGCTGCGGGGCCTTTCTGATAGAGTTGAGCACCTTGTATATAAATTGACACTGTGATTCATCCATTTGGTACTTTTTTTTTCTGCTAGTGTTTTTTTGAGTTTTTTTTTAATAGTTGCCACATACTATAGATTTAATGAAGAATTCAGATACTACCTTGACAAATAAAATCATTTGGCAGAAAAAACTTACAGAAAGATATTTTTCCTGTGTTTCTGCCAAGGATTGGGTTTACATTTCCAAGGGTTGGGATGGTCAGATTCACATTCTACTATGTGATGTCATGAGGCAAGTGTCATTGGAATTCTTAACAGATTCAGTAAACTTGTAGCTGTGAAGTTTATAGTTGTACAACATAATCTGTGATGTTTGTTTTGAACAAACAAAAATCTTTGATGTTTGTCTTTCAGTGCTGTGCAGCTTCTGGCATTTGTAACATACTGGTTTTTCAGTTAGACATAATCTTTTGGAATGGTAATCAGTGCTGCATTTATTTGTCACTTCCTGATATCTGAAGTGTCCTGGTCAATCCGTTAATGTTTTGGAAGGTTTATTTGGAGATTCTTAGTTTGGCTAATTTCTTCGGCATGATGTGTGCAAGTACTGTGCTGTAACTTCTTAACTGTCATGCTTGTTGCTTTTTCTTAATGCTTTTAGAGATTTCTTCTACTCTGTCTGAAGGGAAGAAGCAGCTCAATGGTAAGTATTCACCTGGAGCAAAATAGGGAATGAATCTTAAACTTATTTGAATATTATTGAATGAGCAGTGTTTATCCAGACTTCTCTCTGTATTTGAATCAAATGCTGAGGCTCCAGTGAACCGTGGAAATTTCAAAAGGCAAAATCCTCATCAGGTATTGTGAATTCCATGTCTGGAAATATTGTAAGACTGCGGTAGAGTAGCTAAGGGAGGTAAGAGATGAACAAGTAAGTTCAGCTTGTCTGCAAAGTGCTTGGAAGATTTTCTGCAAAGGTCTTTTCTATCCTGTTTCCTGTCAGGTCTCCCATTTTTTTTGTTGCATCAATTTCTTTTTATTCTTTCAAGGTGCAAAATTGTGCATTTTCTTTTGAGCTTCATGGAGCTTTTTTCTGTCCATTGCTTCAGTCTGTTTGTGTCCCTTTGAATGGTAGCCATAACCTTGCATGGTTTGGCTGCTTTCCACGAGTTATTGCTCATGTACTTCCTGAATGTAGGACAGTGTTCCCTGTAGGTGGCTAATGAAAGTATGAAACAGTATCAGCATTCCCTGTTCCCTAGGGAATGCCAACAGTAACCAGCCCCTAGTGGGACTTTGCATGCTGATCACACCTTTTGTGACTGTCAGTTCTACTAATTTTCTATCGAGGTTGTAATCCTCCTGTCAAACCCAGCTGTTTCCAGTGTGGCTATGAGGATAATATGGGAACCTTTATCACTACACTTGCTGTCCCATGGGACTGTGCAAAGCAATTCCTAGAACAAGCTGAAGTTTGCTACCTTGAGATGCGGAGTTGTATTTCTGCTGTTCATCTGGTTACCTTAAACTCTTTCATTTCATACCTGCCATCAGCCTTTGGCTTCACCACCAGCATTCCTTTATGATCACCAGTACAGCACTTTGCTTAATTGATCACCTGAATCATTGTCTTTTTATTGAATTGTTAATTCTTGTTTTCATGTAGCATCTTACACTATTTCAGAATAATTCATAAATAACTTTGCCAGAATGTTCTATTTTATTGTGGCTGCTTATATATTTCTGTTGACCTGCAAAAGCAAACTGGAATGTGTATGACCACGAATTCCTGTTATCTGTGGGGGCCAACCTAGGCATATGATGTATGTCCTCAAGAAAGGCTTAGCCTTTGAGAAGGCTTTTATCATTAGGTGATTGGTTTTCTTTTGCAATGATCTGACTGCTCTGCCATTTAGCTTCCTTGGCAGCTGCAGATGGTGTGTACTCAGGACTAATTAAGGATCAAAGAATAAGTAATTTGACTGAGTTTTAATTGCTTTGGGTTAATTCTCCCATCTGGATGATCAAATATTTTCAACAGATTGGACCGGAGTGGCTCTCTGTTTTTATCTACTTCCCACATGGTGAAGCCACTCAATCACCGTGTTTAAGGTTGTAGTCATACTACAAAACTTACTGGCAGTTAGAAGATAGTAATCTGGGTAACTGAGAATTCAGGTGCTAATTATTTTATGCATAGACATTTCGAGTTTGCAAGGTTTGCCTTTGAATGGGCTTGGAACCAGCTGTTCAGTCTGCAGCTTCCTCCATCATTATTCTATTTAACTTCTTTGTGTTAAAACTGATGAAGGGTTGCAGTTGCTTTTATCTGTCTCTGTGCTCAAGTGTTTGCCAAATATTTTCAGTTTCTATCATGCCAGAGATTAGTACAGTTGACATTTTGAAAGACTAACCAACTGTTGCCTCCTAGCAAAGGCCTTTTCAGACTGTTTTGTGAAGTTTAATACTTAGAGTAGCTGAATTCTGTGAAAAGTCCTAGGAAAGTGCTAAGTTGAAAGATTAAGGTTGATATCTTTGCTTAACTGACTGACATGAAGTTTTACTTGTGAATTAGGTTAGATCAGACATCCCAAATCTGAATTATATAAACAAATAGTTCTGTTAAAGGGAATTCGTTCAGATAACCTTGTGCTTCACTATCACAAAGTGTAAAAGCACAGGATAGTTACAGGTGAAACTGAGATCAAGCCACATGTACCAGAAGGGCTGCAGACACAGGTACTGTGGTGTATGGAACTCTTAATTTCTGAAGTAGAATTTCATTTTCTAGGACCCTGCTCTCCAAGAGAAAATGCTGAATAAAAACTAAATTTAAAAAGTACATGGTTATTTTTGGCTGCCTGTGGAAATAAAGCCATTAAATATTGTTCAGGGATATTTAGAACATTCAATTAAAAAAAAATAAAACCAAGCCCCAGATATACCTGATAAGTATTTCTTTTAAGCAAGCATCCCAGCAGCCATTTTATTGACTGTCTGCTCTTTGTAGGTATGCTTCCTGAGAAGAAAGTACTAGCTTCTTCCGCTAAAGACTTAACTCCAAGGTAAGCCTTTGTCTTTCATTGGCTGTTGAGCATTCTATTTAAAAATTCTGTGCAATTCTTAGAACATGCAGGCAACTTCTTCGATGGTTAGCTCTCAATGTTTCAGCTAAATGAGTATATGTCATTACCATCCTCTCAGAAGTAGGAAGTAGGAGGTTTATGTTTAAACAACTTGCCAAAGATCATATAGGCAAATGATTATTCTTGGCTTGCTCAGTTGATTTCTAACACTTGCACCTCCTTGCATTGTATAAAAGTGTATGACTTATATTTGCAGACTCCTTAGGTTTGCTTCTTGAGGAAACTTCTAGAAAATGATTCCAGCTGGGCTGATTATTTTTTTTGACTTTAGTTAATTTGTCGATAGATGTACATATAGCCATGCCTTGAAAATGTGCTTCATTTCACGCTGGAATATAGTAAAATGTGATAGCTGTATTCAAGTTTCTACAATATGCAAAGCGAAGCAGGCCCTAAAATCTCATTGTGATATGCCTACTGTTGTCACTGAGGTGTCATTTTACTCCGTGATGCCTTGAGTCAACGAGGTTCAGTTTCTCACTTGACACGAAAATCTCCTGTGAGTGTGTGATCTCTGGGCTAGTTACATGCAGTCAGAAAATGTTGTGGCTTGTAAGCAACTGGAATGTGATTTATCTTCTGAAGTGCTCCCCAAACCTTGCTGCCTTTCTTCCCATGTGTGTCTGGCATATTCTGGATGTGACTGGAAGATGTGCAACCTAGAATGTGTTGGCTGTCAGGAATGTTTGCCGGAGGGATCATCCTCCCTCCCTGCCTTCTTTTCTGGTCCAGTAGTCTAAACAGTAGATAGAAGTTATTTCCTGGCAAGTGTAAAGCCATACAAATAATTAGCATCTGAAGGCTTTCCTTTTTTTTACTTTACCTGGATTTATTACAAGATTTGGACAGCATGGGAACATAGGAATGAATGTAAAACCTAGATTCAGGGAGATGAAGGGAGATGATTTTGTGGTATGTGCATCAGATCTTTAACTCTTGGAAGCCACTCTGCTTATTTAATGCTTTTGTCTGGAGTCAAGATTTTTATCATCTCCTAAGAAAGGTTCATATACTGGAAAGAGGGTGCATATGCTTTTTAAGTAAAACTAATGACATATAATTTTAACTTCAATTTGCTAACTATCAGGATGCATAATTAGACTGTTACTTTAGTAATGTTTTCAAAATTACTGGCTTTGGACTTACCTCTTCAAAAATAGTAAGTCATGTATTTGGCTTGTAAATTCATGAAAGATGCTCTTCTTGAAGACTTGAATTTAAATATGATTTGTTATGCCCAAAGAAATTATATATTTTTTTTGTTATTGTATTTTTTGTTCTACAGTTATGATTGGTTCCAAACAGATAGTTTGATCACCGTTGTCATATATACTAAGCAGAAGGTAAGTGAAAAGGAGGATTACAAAATCCAGTTGTGATCTAGCTTGAATTCTGGAAGAACTTCATAAAAATTGTTGTGGTTTTTTTTCCCCCTTGACTGTGAAAGGATATGAATGAAGAGTTGGTGATAGTTGACTGTCAAGATAAACGATTAAGGGGAGAGATCATCATGGATGACTACTCATACCTTGTAGAAGTTGGTAGGTATTGTAATTTTGCAGTTGAAAATACTGAAGTTTCATTCTACTTTATTCAAACCCTTTCATTAGACCATACGCATTTTACGTGTACTACTTAATATTTTATTCCTTTTTCATTTAAGATGATTAAAGTACCTTGATGTGAATTAATTACATTGTGTATCAACTCACATCTTCATTTGTTAAGTATGTACTAAATGTTTTACATGTGGACTAAAGTGAAGTAAGAAATCAATTTTAAAGTTGTGTAAAATTTTTCTTCAAGTGTGTTTTTTATGGTTATTAAAATGGTCTTATTCAAAAGGACAAGTGCAATAATTTACATAAATGAAGATTAGTAGCTTTATATGAGCCGTTGTTAAAAGTAATGGGAAAAATGGTGCCTTTATGTATGAGGCCTGTAGAAGTCATGAGTAAAATTTCAAGGCCAAATAAAGATGCATAGGTTTCTAGGCTCATTAGTTCACTCAATATTCCTAGACTTACAGTGTAGGTGTATACAAAAGTGTGTGTTCATATATGTATATATGATGACTGGAATATAATTTTATTATTGCTTGACACAGAATTTGTTTGTCTTTATTTCAGACTTGGATCATGCAGTTTCAGAAGAAGTGGCTGGTAATTTCTGTCTCTTGCAGCGCTTCTGTATCTCTTCTAGGATAGTCCAGTCAGGAGTTGAACTTCAGTGATCCTTGTCAAGGTCCCTTCCAAGTCACGATATTCTATGATTCTAATATCAGAATGTGGAAATTTAGTTTATTTTTCTGACTCTTTGGATACTTTACAGTTTTACTTACCACCAGGTCCTGACACAGTCAATCAAACCATGCCATAACACTGAATAGTTTTTTTTTAAATGATGGCATTTGGCCCTGTGAAAGTAGTAAGCTGATAGTGCTCTGATCCCTCTGAATAAGATTAAATGTTAAAATAGTTAGAAGTTAGTTCTGTTGTGTATTTGTAAAATGTTCTTTGCTGAGACTGGGATTTTCTTGTATTTAATTATTCATTCAAATGGCCTTGAAAAGAAAGTATTAAGTAGTGGTAGTTACCAGTTTCCAGTACATGAGGACTCTGTGTTCATGAGCATTTTTCTTGACCAGATGGGCTGTGAAGCTGTCCTAGTTCCACAATCTATTTAGCAAATAAAGTATATTAATTATGCATATTAAATTAGTGCTTGTTGTTTTAATTGCACTCTAAAACATTATAGAGTGATAGGTAGAAGTATATTTAATTTGATATTCTAATTTAGTGGATTAACTACATTTGTCTTGAGAAATTTCTTCTAAATTCTTCTAAAATTTAGTTGTAACCGAGGAATGAATTTTTGTTTTTACAAAGTGTAACTAAAAGTAACAATGTGAAACCTTTTCTCTTCTAGTAAATATTGCTGAAAAAATAGGAAAAGTAGAAATTATCTTAAAGAAAAAGGATAACATTCATTGGAAAATGCTGGGACAGCCCTGGGGGTGTCATAATACATTTGTCAAACGCACAGACAGAGGTAAGCAATTTCATGGCCAAGTTACCAGTTGTTTTCTGAATTCTTGGAGCTTGTCAGTCATTTGGTTTCTTTCAGGATTTTCTGTTGCTGTAGTTGTACCTTCAATTCATTCATGATTGATGTCTAATCTTGTTGAAAGCTACTCAGGAGTTCTTGAAAGGATTCAACTTAGAGGTGGTTTTTTGCCTTGCTTTGGTTTGGTGGTTCATTTTGTCCCACATAGGAGTTGAAGGTCTTTCAGGCTTGTGGAAAGACTGGAAGAACCTAATAATGTAAGGTGAAGACTGCTTGAGTGTTGTTCCACCTCATGGCTACCTGTGCGCTTAATGTCCTTTCTGTCCGTGTGAAAAGACCCTGAGGGACAGTGCACAGATTTGTATCAATCATTATGGAAGTAACTGTAGTGAAGGTTTTCCTTCGCTTCCAGTTTTTTCTATAGATATAGTAACATCTTTCAACGTAATGTTGTTCCATCACACTACATCTTTGTAAGTTGATCTATTGACTTCAAGCCACCTGTAGGTATTAAAGCCAGCTCTGAATAAGCTGATGTGTCTGCAAGAAGCAGTCGATGTTATATGTGAGTTTAGTTTGTGGTAACAGAATAGTATGAACTTGACGCAGCATCAAAATATATTAAAATGATCAGTGTGGTTTTGGTTCTTCTCACCTAAATTAAAAATTTGTGCACAATTACATTGTGTAGTATAAGCATGCTCCTGATATTATTGCAAATTGCCCAGCTTCTCAAAAGCCTTCTTGGCCCTCTGTCTAATAATGCTCAGAAATGGACTGTTTGATATTAGTCTGCTCGATTTATGTGTGAAAGCAAAGCTGTACCTTTTTAAGAGCTAATTACGTGTTGATCACCATGTTGTACACCTCCTACTGCCTCTCAGTTATGCTATGTAGGCCTTCAACATCAAGAAATTACTGTGTTACAAAAAGGAAGACTGCATAAAAGCATATCTCTCTAGCAACCTTTAGCTTATGTAGAATATAATTTTCCTTATGAGAGTTTCAGAAACTGTTAAGTCATCCCCTTTAGCATTAGATTTTTCAATATAATCCTCTGTATTTAAGGGCTTACAGACTGATCTAATATATTGTCCACTGTCCATTGCTCATTTTCTCCTGCCTTATGCTTTTGGAAAAAAAAGAGAAAATAATCTGAAAGAACAAGAGCCACAGAATAGGGTGGCTTTGCAAATGAGGAAGGTGTGGATGATTGGATGCAATTGAGAAAAGTACATATTGAGCATTTATAACCAATGCTTTCTAGATTATTTATTTTGCACTTTTTTCCTAAGAAGTCAATCTCCAACATAGTATTTGTCCTGTAATGCAGAGGACTGTTATAAGGTATAAGATACAGTTATAACATATAAGATTTTTTTATATAATTTATAATATACTTTATTATGTGTCAGTGACTGAGTTCACATCAGCTTAAATTGAATCTTCAGAAAACTTAAGTTAAAGGGCTTGCTGAACCTAAGTTTCCCCTGATTAAAAAGGTGATGAATCTACCAAATAAAGTGATATCTATGGCTTTTTAATACCTACTCCAGAAACTTTTATTCTGCAGTTTTTTAATTTTAAAACCTCCAAATTTAAAATTGAGCATGCCAGAAGGTGTATAGATGAAGAATGTTGTGGCCTACATGTCTTTCCTTCATTCCAATCCTGTGCTTTCAGCTCAGCCATAAAATCTACATGTTGTAGCTTCTATTTATTCAGTTCAATGTTAAGTAGACAGTCTCCTTTTCTGTTTAGAATTGCGCTCCCTTACACTAAATTGCAGAATTTTCATATTTGCTTCTGCTTCTGTGGAAGCAAAATAATGTTATGACTGAAGATACTCATACCTTGTTCAGTGTGAGCACAGAATAAGTAATTAATAACTAAAAAAAAATAATTTTACAAAAATCTTTTTATCTGGTATTTCTATATGGCACTATATATAGGGTAGCACAGATATGTTGCCCTAAATACTCAGATTCTTTTTCACTTAGATTTATGTATCTTCCTCTGCTTATTCTCAGCATTACCTTTTATTTTTGATGGATGTGGGTCTTGTTTGAAGGCAGTGTAACTGATAACTTCCACTTCTGAAAATCTGGGAATAGAATTGAAAGTGGTTATATTATCTTGTTATACATGTTTTTTGTTTATTTTATTTGAGTTTTGTGTATTTGTAGGTTTTTTGGTAGCTTACACTTTCTAAGAAAAGTTATCATTTTACCTGCAATGTTTGCACGCTTCCAGTTTGGTGGTAAGGTTGTTCTGAGGCTGTGAATAATAAGTGCTTATGGGAGCACTGATATTTAATTCCTCAGGGTTTTCTTATCTTTGAGTTTTTCTCTAGTATTTCCATTGTATTGACCATTTCAAACATTTCCTTTGTATTCAAAGCACAGAAAGAAGGGCTGAAAAACAGGATTAACACTTGAAAATTTTCCTTGATTTTGTGTTTTTATAACTTGTTCACATGACAGCATTCATGAATGAGTTTGTAAAGGAGGGATGGGTGACCTCTGTGCGTAAACCCCTACACTTCAAAATTATTTAATCTTTATTTTTGAAACAGTTAAGTCTAAATTCTACAAAAAAGCGATGAAGCTTTTCTTCAGGGACAATGACATAATGCAGAGATGGTACTGGAAGCTTATGATAACTTTATGTTATGAAGAAACAATTAGCATAAACCTCTCCTTTTTTCCCCTTAAGCTGGGAAAGTCCTACTCTCAGGTAAATTGCCTATGTAGTCTCAAATTTCCGCTGAGTTTATACTAACATTTTGGCCAGTGTGTCTTAGTTAATTGGAAGGAAAGAACAAAATTGTTGAATTTCCTCAAAGGTGAGAGGAATTTTTTAAGAAAAACTAATGCAATTTCAGTGAACTACACTGTATCTTAGGATGTATCAGGAGATTCAGAAAAATATTCAATACCACTTCTACTGCTTAAGAAGGAAGTGCTTGCTTTTCTGGAGGAATAATTATTTATACTCCCACAGTATTGCATAGAAAACACAATTCAATATAAGTAGCTTGTCAGTGTAGGAAAGTTGGTGTCATTTCTCTTTACTAGCTATCATGAAACTGGTCATTAAAAGCATAAACAAAAACTAGTGGTCACCGTGCTGGCATCCTGTGAAATTTAAAAGCAGTATTTAAAAAAGTAAGATAAGACTTTCTCATTTAAAAACCAAACAAACAGAAAAAACAAACCCAAAAAGAACAACCAAGAAACATAACCCCAAACCAAACCCCAAAAGACCAAATTAGCACACAGCACAGTAATAGAGTGCAGGTTTTCTCATAGGTATTGACATGATTTTCTTTTAGGTGCCTTTTCTCAGAAATAAGATATGAAAGCAGACTTGTGAGGGGGCATGCATACAAAAGCAGTAGCCATATGAAAGTGAAAAATGATGTTAGTACGGGTGACTTTGGATGTGTGTGTGGGGGGGGGGTTTCCTCATGGAGAATAATTCTGAAAATGATTCTGAACTTTTAATCAAATCCTTGTTTTGGAGCATAACTAACTTCTGCTTTCTTAAAGAGGGTGCAACTATTGGCAGATGCGTAGGGTGTTCAGTAAAGAAGCAAGGTGCTGTTACCTCTGAGGGCTGAAATAGGATGTAATTTCTTTGTTTCATGGAGTGGTTTTAGTCCACGTTAAGTGAAAGATCATAAACCTTTTTTTGTTGGAAGTACCAGAAGGAAACAGAATGCTGATGCAGCACTTAATGTATATCAGCAAGACTTGTGTTGTGGCAGGGTGCTATTTGCTGCATAATTAGGGAAGGTTTAGCAGATGTGGATTCAGTGGAAAACTTATTTTGGGAGGGGAGAGAGACCATCTGGGAAGAGAGTGGCTGGCCTTTTTGGATAATAGGAACTAGCTTGTGAAATCTAGTAATTAACAGAAGCATTTGAGAAAACTGACAAATTGATGGTTAGCAGTAAGAGTTCATTGTTGTCTTAACTCCAAGACTAGGCTGCTGCCAGGAGTGGTGGGCAGCCACCTTCCTTCAGCTCTGTGGTCTAATCTCCATTATGTTGGCACTTACAGTACTTGAGGCTCTGTAATGAAATAACCTGAACAAAGTAAGGGTTAACGTTCAGCTGGCTGATGGACACTGTTGAGTGATACATGCTTGCTGGGAGTGGGGTGGAAATCCTCTACTTGAGAGGGAGGGGCAGCGGAGGGATTCGGTTTTTATACTTTGAAACTCTGTTCCAAGCGAACAGGCTGATATTGCTGCTTTAGCATTCCTAGCATTATGACTAACAAGTAAGAAATAAGAATTGTCTTTCAAGTTTTATCATTGAAGAAAAGCAAAAAGCATAATTCAAGGAGAAATGCTTAAATTAAACTCCCTTTCATGACAAGGAAGAACACAGGCAAAAGGCTAATACTCTCCAGAAGGTATCATTATCTGTGCAGCAGTTTTGTTAGTAAAATTAAATTTGTATGCCTATGAATCAATGTGCTGCATTTCTTGATTCCAGCAGAGGAAGAGGTTCAGTTTGAAGGGTGATGTCTCTGCCCTGTGATAATATTGGATTTTTGTGGCAAAGCTTTGCTAGGAGGGAGCTGCGGGAGTGCTTCTCTGAGATCAGGCACTGTGATGCTGGCACTTGATGTCTGCAGAAAGCTTGATCAAAGCTAACCTCGTCAGTAGTTACTTTCTCCACTTTGAAAATTACGATTTGCTTCTGGACCTTCATTGTGCTACAAAATTGAGAGAAGAATACCTTTTGTTTATGTATAGTACCAAATCATGTGTCTTTGCATCTGGCAGTTAACTTGGCTTCATGGGCTGATGAAAGCAAGTGTTCAGCTTCATCTTGCTACTAGGGGTTGGTATTCTCTTGTTGAAAGGCTTTTCTGCATTGCCACTTGTTTTTGCTTGTGACTTCAGGTTTTATTGAAACCACTGTGTTCTAGTTTTGGCAGGGATGGAGTTAGGGTTAGACCACAACACACTGATAATGAAATAATTTTAGTTAATACAACAAAGGCTACAAACTAAACTAGAAGTTTACTTAGACCTAGGCAGGTCTCTGTTTTTAAAGGTGAGATTGAGTGAATCAGGACAAAAGTTCTGTATGGCAAAATAAAAAGAAAAACAGGGAGGCAAAGGTTATTTATATGGAAAACGCTGGAATTAGTCAGGTTGTAAAGGTCAAAAAATTTTCAGGAAACAGTTGATGAATCATTTTTTTAGCTTCTCTCTCTCCACTCCCAAATATCTGTAAGAGTATTAGATGATCAGTATTATGGGCTATTGTAGTGGGCTTCTGTGGCTGAGTTTTGGTAGCAGGGGGGCTACAGGGGTGCCTTCTGTTAGAAGCTGCTAGAAGCTTCCCCTGTCTGGTGGAATCAATGCCAGCAGGCTCCAGGATGGGCTTCCAAGGCCAATCCAATCAAGAGTGATAGTAACGCCTCCATGATAACATATTTAAGAAAAGAAAGTTATCGCACAGTAAAAAATTCCAGCCAGGGAAGAGCTGAGTGAGAACATGGGAACAACAGTGCAGACACCAGTGCAGAAGGAGGGGGAGGAGGTGCTCCAGGTGCCGGAGATGAGGCCCCTGCCGCCCGTGGTGCAGACCATGGTGGAGCAGCTGTGCCTCTGCAGCCCATGGAGGACCATCAGGGTGCAGAGACTCACATGCAGCCCATGGAGAAGCCCATGCTGGAGGAGGTGGATGCATGAAGGAGACTGTGACCCTGTGGGAGGCCCAAGATGGATCAGGGTCCTACCAGGGACCTGCAGCCCGTGGAGAAAGGAGCCCACGCTGGCACGAGTTTTTCCCAGGTAGGACTTGTGGCCCCTGTGGGGGACCCACATCAGTACAGCTCATTCGTGAAGGACTGCACCCCATGGAGGAGTGACCCACAGGACAGCAGTTTGGGAAGAACTCACGCTGGAGAGGTCCATCAAGGACTGACTTCCATGGGAGGGACCCCACAGGAGCAGGGGAAGGACTCCTCTCCCTGGGCAGCGGCAGAAACAACAACTGACCATAACCCCCATTCCCCGTCCCCCTGCACTGCTGGGGGGGAGGAGGGAGAACATGGAAGGAAGGAGGGGTGGGAGCAAGGTGTTTTTAAGATTATTTTACTTCTCGCTCTTTTGCTCTGATCCTGTGTATAATAAATTTAATTAGTATCCCAGCTTTGAGTCTGTTTTGCCCGTGAAGGTGATCAGTAACTGACCTTTCCCAGCTCTTATCTCAACTCATGAATCCTTGGCTGTTTTTTTTCTCTCCTCTGTCCAGTTGCAGAGGGGAGTGAGAGAGCGGCTTTAGTGGGTACCTGGTATCCAGCCAGGGTCAACCCACTACAGCTATATTACCAACTTCACACATTCTTTTAAGCAATTCTTAAGTCTGCAGAACTGACAGCAATCTTGGCGTATTTATTTGTATACTGTACTTTGCAATCTTACAGTGTATTATTTTTCTAATTTCAAAAAACCTTTTAATAATATTTATATAGCTGGAGAGATGCTTTACTTCAAGATTGGTATGAAATGGAATTATTGACTTCAATTTTTTCAGAGCTTTAGGCATTCTTTTGATTCATCTGAAATGTTTGCTCATTCAAAATAAGGAATTTGTAGGATGTTAAATGAAAGGTGTGAGAAAAATCTTAATCAAGAAGATTTATTCCATATCAGAGACTTTACATTGTGTCTGTGCAGGCATTTTTAGTGGATAAACTCATTAGTAGATATTTGAATAATTTAAGAAAACAACTGTATGCATAAAAATGCCGTGGTCGTCCACTGTGGCAATACTGGTACATAAGGAATTTGCTGCTAATTTAGTCCATTGCCAAAGTGCATGTGCAGCTGAAATTTAGTAATCTGAGTGTATATTTCAGGCATAACTGCATGTATTTAGATGCTTGACTGTTCTAGCAGAGTTTATTTATACCCTTGGAAATAAGGTCAATTAGAAAGAAGCATGGCTGAGCTAGAACATACTGTTTAAATCCTTAACTTTTAAACAATTGGTGGATAACTATTGTTGGTTTGAAAGCTGTCCCCTGTTTAAAATTATTTGGTTTCTGTTGTGGTTGAATTGACAAGTTGTGATCCTGCACTTATTGAAGAAGGGAATGTTGGTAGTGATAGCTGTTCCTTCAGGCAGCAATTGACTGCACTGTCACAGAGCACTCTGTAACTAGTCTCCAGCAAACTCTTTAGCTGTGTTTTTAATCCAGAATATCTGGAAAGAGCAAAATGTTTGGGGTAATAATCCTGGACTAAGGAAACTGCAGTACAGATAAATTACTTGGAAAATGATAATTCATTACATGAAGTTACTGAAGTACTCAAAGTGGTCCTTAAATGACTCTTGGGGAACACTGGGGAAGGAGAATGGACGGGCTAGCTTACTGTGAACCCCTCTAACCTTTTTTGGTTGATGGTTGGTTTTGGTGTTGTTTTTTTTAAGTCCAGTGATCAGTGTCTGTTTGTGAATTGTACTCCTAGTTAAGCATAAAGATCAGCCAGGCTTACTGACTTGGGCTTCTCTCTGGTGCTCTTGGAAGTAAGAGCAAGGAAGCAATGGCAGTGGTTGCTGGAGCTGCAGCAATGCCTAGAATTTCCTTTACATTTTGTCTTGTATTTAAAGGAGACTTTACTGGAAAATTGCATAAGCCTTCTGTCAGGCAAGACTCACTTAAGAAGAGTCATTGTGTTGACTCAAGAAAGAATTTTGAAAGACATCAGGATTTAGGCCATGTACATAAAATAAAATGAACATCTGCGCCTGTAGTGAAGCCATGTTTACTGTCACAAGTTACCTCCTTATCTTCCATGCATAACTTCCAAGAGTATCTGCTCTGTGATCTTGCCAGACACAGTGGTTACGCTTCGCATTTTCCAGTCCTATCGTTTCATCAGTTCCTGACAAAGAATCCCTCTCTGGCTTCCCTGTAGGCCTCCTCTATATTATAGTTGAGAGTTGAGAAATACTTTCCTCTATTTAGCATTTGTTGTGAAATTAACCTTTGTAAGCATTTTTTATTTCCAGAAGGAAAGCATCCATGCCCTTTGTTCTTTGAAGTACTTCTTCCTTGCTGCTTCATCCCAGCTTAGTGTTCTGCAGTCTCAGGCTGTAATCAACAGGACATAGCCCTCTACTTTGTTGTGCTTTGTTGTGCTTAGACCCCGAAGTGCTGTAATGATGCAGATTACAGAGCTCAGGATGGCTACTTAGTTAAAATGGGTGCAGGGCTGGCCAGCCTTACACTGAGTACTTTGCCACAGAGGTTGTTTCCAGCATAAATGATGGGTTATTACCTCTGTTGTAAGAGAGGCAGTCTGAAATGCAAACCTTACATAGTGCTTTTATTTATTTATTTTAAATGCTTTCTTTTTTCAGTTACCTTTTGCCAGACATTTAGTTAATGCACAGGTTGAAAAGTACTGTATTTGAAACCAATGTCCTCGCCCCCAAAACAGCTGTGTTAACAAAAATTTATGCTGTACATAAGACCTTGTAGTTGATTTTAAGTGAGCATGTGAACATATAACTGGAGTTCATAATTCCTAGTTAGCCAAAAGGCACCAATTCATGTCTAAAATATTTACTGATAATGCTGAAGTGTTTCTTGCCTATGTAGGCACAGATGTTCATTTCATTTTATTTCATGTATAAGCATTTAAGCATTGGAATTGTGTACCTGAAAAATTGTGCAAAGCTGTATCAGAAATTCTTCTTGTGCTAATAACAGTCAAAGTGCAACAGTATGGGATGGTCAGGCCAATAAATATCTGAGATGCTGGGTGGGTTTGGATAGTCTGTTGCTAAGGACTGTGGTGCTCTGCTGGCTTATATTTCATTTGTGTTATGCCAGCTGGTTTTGGTCTGCATACGTGTACTCGTGCTGTAGTTACAAGGTGAATTCAGTGCAGGTACAGTGTAGTACAAGGGATTCTGTTTTCTGCTAGTTTCTGATGCTTTTCTACTTCTTCCCAGTCATTGCTGATAACTCAGAGGCCCAAAGTAAGGCTATAAATGAGTCCGTAGTCCAAAACTGTAAAAATAATTTTAAGTAATTATACAAGAAGCATCTATAGTGTTTTTATAATTGTATATACTGAAATACATATATTTCTCTATCTCTTACTGAAAGATATATAAGAAAAAAAAGACAGATTGAGACTTAACTAACAAGTAAAATCATGTTTATAGAACTGTTCTACAGAAAATGCAAGTTGGTTTCTAAGACAGAAGTTACCCATGACACCAAGCTTTTCTGCTTTATGTTGCCAAAGGGCACACATCTCCGTATTCCCACTGGACAACATGTTTACCTCAAACAAATTATTACAGGTAAGAAAAATTGAGAATGTAGTAATGGAATCCTTTTCATAGTCTTGAGAGAATGCCAAGTCCACGGCCACAAATTCCCTTGTCGTAGTTAGAAAGTCTCTGCTTCCAGAATCACAGTCAGTGCTTAATAATGAACTGACTGGATTAATATTGATGGAAAGCTAACTATTGAGGTGGCTGGCATTTACTGTTGACCTTATTGTCTCTACTTTCAACTTTCTCTTTAGAACATTCTCTCTACTGAAGTAGTGCTGTTCATCTTTGAAGGGGGAAAACTTATCATACATGTTATGTATCATTAGTCAGTTCCTTTTAATTTTTTGAAATGAGGAGGGTATTGTTGCAATTTTTCCTTTTTTTTTCCCCTTCTTCTGAGGGATTTATAGTAGTCATGGTAGCACTACTTTATACTCCAGTTGCACAATATTAATGATAACACAAGGCTGTGAGACGAATGTATCTTGAAAAGCATGTTTATGTGCTATTCATCAAAATTTTGTAAAAGGTGGACTTAAGGAAATGGAAGGCCAAAGAAATATCTGGTTTATTTTTTTAAAAGTACTTTTTAAAATATGTATATTAATGGTTATACTGGTCACTATACTTGGATTGCAATATGCATGGTAGAGAGATTTCTCAGAATTATTATTAAATATCCATTAATTGAGAACTGTTTTGTCCTCCTCCTCCTCCCTGCCTAATGCTTTGCTGGTGTCCAACTCTTGTGATCTTTCTTTCTATCATTATACAATGAATTTTTGAAATTATACTGCAAGAAAATATAACTGTGCAGTACTAAAACTCTGCTGTTTAAATTTAGAAAAAATCAAGTTCTTGAAATAAATGAAAATAAATGAAATTGTTTAGATTTTCAGGTTCTTCAGGGATGACTGAAGATCTTTTAATCTGGTGTTCTGGATTGCTAGATAGCACAGAAATAACATGTTGAGCAGTGACCTGAAATTTTTAATTTTCCAGTTCTGGTGCAGTGGAAAGTAATATACTTACATAAAAGCATGAGATGGTGTTATTTTTATGGGATATACAGATTATTTATTTACTCATTGTTTATTTTGCTATTTGTTTGTAGTAGCTGGATGTAGAGTGCTTTTCATATTATTTCAGCTATCTTTTGGTCTACTCTCTAGGGACAGAGGCAGTAAAACCATACACACCTGTATTGCCTTTTTTGCCATTGGATTTCCAAGAAACATCTCATCATGATGGTGTGCATATATATTTAATGATTAAAATTTATTCCTGTGGGCTGTTCACACAGGCACTTGACCACCTACAAATTGGTAAGTATATGGTGGGGTTTTTTGTGTTTGCCTTATCTTTAAAGGTTCGCTGTCTGAGTATTTTGATGTTCTTATCATTTACCTACTTATATATTGGGACATACTTACAACTTCTTTTAAACCTTGTTTTCATTCCCTAAATGTACAGGCTTATCCTCACTATAACTAGGAGTTGTCCATTACATAAAGCTCTCCTGACTGATCTGTGTGAACTATCACACATTAGAGTTGATCACTTTGATGTCTGATGCTCTGAGAACAAGTTTTTGTACTTTCACATAAAGAAAGCTAGGTCTTTTTTTATGGGACTTAAGATGCACTTCCTTTTTCATTTCAGATACAGAAGCAGATTTTTAATACTGACTTCGGAAATGTTTGTGTACTCATATCTTGTAAAATCCATCAAGACAAAACTTTTTAATTGTATATCTCTTCTTTTAACAAGAGTGATTCTTATGTGAAGTGTATAGTACCTTTCTGAAATGAACCTTAATACTACAAAGATGAAGGCAATATGAAATAACCTTTAAAAAATCAGAATACTGATTAGCTTGTTTTCATCTAATTAATGTTTTTCTTTTTTCTTTTTTTTTTTTTTTGAATAAAGGAGACTATGTTTCTGTCAGCAATCCTGAAGGCAACTTCAAGAAGTCACAAGTTCAAGCTTCAGAAGATCTCATTTTATTGGCAGGAGGCACAGGCTTCACACCAATGGTTAAACTGCTGAATTTTGCTCTGACTGAAGTTAGTTGTCTCAGGTATGTGTGATTATTGTGATTTAACCCAAGTTAGAAGGAAGAAACATAATGGGCAAGCCTCAGTGTTAATAAAACAACTAACAAAATAAAATGGTATGAAAGCATTTGTCTTCAACTTATGCCAAGAACTGGCATGCTTAAGGGAAGAGTGTCAGAAGCTTAGGCAATTTGCACATATTTGGTTATTGGCTACCCTCAACATAATGGGCTGATCTGCATTTTGGATTTTAGTTGTGGTACAAATGAGCTCACTGGGTAAAAACTTGGAGGAGTTTTTTTTTAACTAGCTTTCCATTTCAGTCTCTTTTTAGTATTGAAATATTTCAATGTAGGTATTGTTTTTTGGACTGAGAAGGGCTAAAACTGTTTATTTATAACTTCTCTCTGATATATTTGAATAGCTAGCATATTGTTTTCACCTGCTAAGTGACAGTAACACATTGTTACCGGATGAGCTCCAGTTTTAAAAAAAGTGCCACTTCTATAAGCAGAGCATTAAGTGTATTCAAATGCATAGAAAGGTGTGTATTGCATATGCATTCTATACTCTGCTTGTAAAATCTACAGAAGAAAGCATTACTTTTACGTGGTAAGGGAACAGGTTGTTTTGTCCTTCGGAACCCCAGAACTGGTACTTCTGCTTTTGAAACAGCATAGAGATATTAATTGGACACTAATCTTCATACTAAAGCTAAAAAGGATGAGATGCACTGCAGAAGTTTGTTTCTAAAAAAACAACCAAACCCTAAATTGAGACACTATTCTTATATTGTTTATATTTCAGCAATGACATATAATCCTGTTTTGTGAGCAGAGAGATTGTGTACTGTCTAGCTCTTCCAAAGCATCCTGTATTGTCAGTAGCAAATAGCAAGTGGCTGGCTGGCCTTGCCAATCCAAAGGGTAAATCTATCATCTGGCAAAATGCTTGGGAAGCACATTTTTTACACTTTTCAGCATGACTTCTTATGGGAATTCAATGTTAGTTTAGGATGCAGCAGCATCTGTTTCCTTTACTAGTCAATTCAAAGTAAACAAATTTTTCCTTCTTGCTGTGGAGGCTTGTTAGGTGAATGACTTGATCTGGTACAGATTCTGGTTATATGCAGACACTTAAACATTTGTTTTTCTGACTGTTCTAGGCAATTTAGTTTCTTGGCCTTATATGTGCTCTTTAACCATCATTTTCTTTTTTGGGAAAATATTACAAGAGTGTCTTTAATATATGTACATTTATATGTATGAGATACATGTAATTGTAAACAACATAAATATGATTTGCATAGAATTATCTTATTTAGCAAAGTAACTGTTGTCCTAAGCTTGGATTGCACTTGCAGGAACACGAATTGCAGAAAGCTGAGGAATAATCTATGCAGTGATTGACTTGTCACCTGTGGGTGCCAAAGCAGCCTCTGTCTGGAGTGCTGTGCGAGTGCTGCTGAACTTCTGGGGCTGCAGTGTGAGTGCTGGAGAATCTGCAGCCTCCCTAAGCAGCATTTGCTGTTATGCAATGGGCTAGGATCAATGGATTTTCATTCTTACTGTCTAGTCAAAGTTTCCCTATTATCTTTTAAGTCTGCTATTTCTTGCCTATGGTAAACGGGGAAAACAATTTGTTCTCTTCTTGCCTGCATTATCCTTTTGTGAAGGGTAATGATCCTGAAGTCATAATGACTTGTTTCCTCTCTTACAGGCCAAATTGTATTTGGCCAAAGTATTAATTAAAAAAGAATAGCGGTCCTCTACACTTTCTTTTTAAGATGAGGTTTTTTTGCTCCTTTTTTACTGATGGTGTATAACTGCTATCAGTTATCAGTTAATAGGTACATTTCTTTAAAAAGGTACTAAACACTAGATGGAGGGCTAATGCTCTTCTCGAGTATAGGATGCTTGTAGTCATTTATTGATTCTCCTTGATAGTTGCATCTTCCCTTGTCTCCAGCTTTTCATTCCTAAATTACCACTCTGTCCTCATATTCACTTTTAATATAGTATCCCACTTTCATCATCATTCTTGTTTGGAAGGTGATTTTGTAACTTTCTACCTCCTCTTTTTCCTAAAATCCTATAAGGGTCTCTAACTCCTCTCTGTACAGCTTTCCATAGGACCTCACATACCAATTTTTTTTTACTTTATTAAAATCTACATCCCTTGAAGTAGCTTCCAGTATGCCAGATTCACCCTATTTCCTTCCAAAGAGCTGATGAACTTTCTAATTTGTTATCTAAACTTTTGTCAGCATTGTCTCAGCCAGCTTTTCTTTACTGGTGAGGATCATGTCTCTTCATTTCAACTGGGTTTTCTGTTCTCTTGATAGTGCCGAGTACTGAGCAGCACTGCAGCAGATATATTTGTCTACACTGGGAAGTATCAGTAAGAGTGTCTCAACCAACTTGTACCTTTGTACCCAATGAAAAAAATGAATGATTTTCCTATGCACTTTCTATTGGCTTTTTCCCCACCTGTGTAACACTCGATGCTCTGGTGCACCATGCCCGCATTTAGAGCACTGCATTCTTTCTTGTAGTGAGCTTTGTTTTCTGGGTTTTCAGAGGGCCCCGGTGAGGATACAATGTAGCTGATTTGGGGCTGTTTTGTTTTATACCAGGCAAGTGTTCCCAAAGCTTGTTCACTGTATCTCACTTTGAGTTGTAATGCATCTGAAACTTGTTTCTCTCAGTAACACTACAGGTGATGTGTATTATATACAACATATGTATTTTATATGTTTATGAGTTTTTGTATTTTGACGGCAGAAAACGAAATGTTTCTCAAATACAAGATGGCATCTGATGTAGCTTATAAGAGTTTTACTGGTATCTTGAAGTGCTTCCAAAGGGGGAAAAAGGTTAGAAATCAGAAAAATGTGGTTTCTTCAAACTGGGAGAACATAGGCTTCTAACCTGCAGTTGAAGAACAGCTGGAGGTCATGAACTCTCTGCAGAAGCCCTAGCATATGTGAAAGATGTGTGAAAGTATGTGTGAAAGATTGTTCTCTGCAAAGTATAGAGCAGGAGGTGATAGGAATTAATAGTTCCTGTGCAGGATCATGTAAACATACTGTGTCTAGCACTAGTCTCTTAGAATCAAGCTTGGCTTGTAAATGGTACACTGGGTAGTGGAGTGCCATGTTGTGGAACTGGAATTGCAGGACTGTGTGATGTGCAAGACCAGCAGGCTTAGCTGACAGGTACGCTTGTGGTTCTCCATGCATCCCAGTGCTCTGGCTTCCTGCAAGTAGGGCACCAAACTTACTGCTTCTGACAGCACAGCAACATGCTCTCTCTGTGCAGAGCTGTGCCTGAGTAGAAAAAGCAAGCCCTCTGGGATTAATTCAGGAACCGCTTGCATTTAACAGTACATCATCTGTCTTACGTGTTGGTGCAGCCTCACCTTGAATATTGTGTGCAGTTTTGGGCACCCCAATATAAGAAAGATATTAAGCTCTTATAGAGCATCCAGTGGAGGGCAGTGAAGATGGGGAAGGGCCTTGAGGGGAAGCTGTATGAGGAGCGGCTGAGGTCACTTGATCTGTTCAGTCCAGAGAAGAGGAGACTGAGGAGAGACCTCATTGCAGTCTAGAACTTCCTTGTGAGCGGAAGAGGAAGGGCAGGCACTGATCTTTTCTCTGTGGTGACCAGTGACAGGACCCAAGGGAATGGCCTGAAGTTGTGTCAGGAAAGATTTACGTTGGATATTAGGAAAAGGTTCTTCACCCACAAGGTGGTTGGGTACTGGGGAAGTGGTCACAGCACCAAGCCTGACAGAGTTCAAGAAGCATTTAGATGATACTGTGAGGCACATGGTGTGACTCTTGGGGATGGTCCTATGCAGGGCTAAGGGTTGGACCTGGTACAGAGCTGTAGTTAGCTCTTGAAGCTATGTGTTAATTTTCTTCTCTGTGTTAACATTTCATCTTTATAAAATTAATATTGACATAACCTTCCTAATTCCAGTTTCACCTCTACAAGCTGGTGTGTGTAATATTAAGAAGGTGTACAGAGTTCATATACCAGCTATTAATTGTAGTGCTCAAACAATGAGAAACCACTAGATAAAACTTGACAAGTTTTATTGTAATTTCAGACAGGTCTTAGTAACTTTAAGAGACTTTATTTTTCTTAGGACAGGAATTCCTGAACTAGAGGGTGCAAATGCAGACAGGGTTGTGGCATTTAGAAGAAAGGCCACTAGTCCAACAGACTTTCAGTTACAGCAAGAAAGAAATTATATTGGGTTAGTGGCAAAAAGATTTGAGGATTGAAGAGTTGCAAAAAAACAAAGAAATAAAAAACGTAAGTAAAAGGTTTCTGTATGATACAATAAGTTCTGATTGTTTAACATGTTTCAAATACAGAAACAGTCTGCAGTTAATTTTTTTTTTTTTTTTTAAGGACAGCGAAGCTGATCTTCTTCAACAAAACAGAAGATGACATACTTTGGAGAAATGAACTAGAGCAATTAGCTCTTAAAGATGAAAGGTATTTAAAAGTCTTATGGAGAACAACTTGTACCATCTTAGTCTATAGGAGAACAGGTCCAGGGACTTAGACTAACTGTACAGCTTTGGCACAAGGACAGATTCTGATTCCGTAAGTTCTTAGCTAAGGATATAATGAGACGTAGGGAGTGGAAGGAGTTGTATTGGTCACAGATGCATAGCAGAGGTTATGTCATTATGTTCTGTAGGTTCCCAGAGGAAGCCAGGGATTTCATTGGACAGTGTTTAGTAGATGGTTATTGGTTAGTTACATGTTAGATGAAGTGATTTTTTAAGACTGAGAAGTTTTTGATGGTGAAGAAAATTTGCCTTAGCCTTAACAATAGAAAACACAGATATGCAAAAGAGGCATAGAAGTGATAGAGGATAGTGTGCCCCACTATGAATTTAGAGAAATCTTAAAAAGTCTTTTTGGTGTCACTTGTTGGGAAAATATTTATGTAGAAATTCAAAGTTTAAATAGGCTTGTTACTTTCATTTTTCCTTACTAATTGTTGCATTTTTCTCTCAATTACATTTTAATTGTGGATTAAAATGCACTAGTACCCATGTAATGTCAATTTAATTTAGCAGGCCATAGTTTTGTCAGGAAACACAGGATTATCAGATTACCTTTTAATTTCAGTTTCCTTGCTCTTATCACTAGATAAATTGTCATTGCTTAGATTTTACATGATAAAAGTATGTTTTGTTTATGCTTACCTAATTGTTAGTTGAATTGTTTCTTGGTTGAAACCACTTGTTCCTTCACAACACTGAAGTGAAAAATCAATACTTCATACCCTTGTGATGTCTGGCACTTTCAAAGCTCCATAGTCTAGACATTGTGCAAATTTACAGTAAAAACCCTTTCTCCCTTTCAGTAACAGCCTCAGATATACAAGTGCTTGTTTTTTTACTGAATTACTATTCTGTTAGTGAGTTTTTGAAACCACTTATAATAGTTTCTCATTAATTAAATTGTGCTGGCATTTTCACAGTAAAATCTGTGCTTTAGTATCTTAATTGGTCCCAGCTGGTTTCGTTGTTGTTGTTGTTGTTGTTTTGGGGGTTTTTTGGTTGGTTGGTTTTCACCTTTTTTTTTGAAAGGTGAAATATGCAGCTGGAATTTTTAACATTGAAAGATTTGGTTAAATAATTAAATATGCAATATTAGAGGCGATTTGACTGACTTGATCAATAGGAACAACTTAAATATCTCTCAGATCTGATACTGCAGTGAGGAGCTGAGCAGAACAGGAAAGTAATCATAGTGTCACGTAATGACACTATGTAAAGTCATCAGTGTCTTGATCAATAGCATTTTGTGTAGCAGATTTCTAATCAGAGGCACTATTTATGAAATATTCTTCTGCTTACCAGGTTTGAGGTTCAGTTCATTCTTTCACAACCGACAAAGGACTGGGTGGGTAAACAGGGGAAGATTTCTTCATCTCTTCTCTCTGAGTTTGTGAAAAGAAGCAGAAAAGACTCCAAAGTGCTTATCTGCATCTGTGGTCCAACACCTTTTACAGAACAAGGAGTACAGTGAGTATTTTGAATGATGAACTAGAAAGCAAAGAATTTTAAAAAATTTGATCACCTAGTTAGATATAATGTTTCTGATTTGGTAGACTTTCAGAAATGGCCTTACATTTTCTGCTTTGCAAGAAAATTTTAAAAATGTTTTAAGATGTAAACAAAAAAAAAGAATTTATAAAAAAAAGGAATTTAAAAAAAATCACCTCGTATCATACTTGAGGAATGTGTTTATATTTAGTGTGTAGCTAAGTAAGTATCAGAAATATGTAATTTTCATGAGTTCTAGTAAGTTGTCCAAAACTTTGTAAGAGCATCTCTTTCACAGTGACTGGTTTTCCCCAAGTTTTTAAATGCTGCTTTTAATTTGATGCTCATAGAAAAGTTGCAGTAACAGGAAATAAGCTTTCTGTGTTGGTGTTAGCTTGACAAATTAAGCTAGGGAAGTAAAGTTCAAAACAATTGTTCTATACAAACATTTCTCTTGCTTATTTTATTTAATTAATGCATTTGTTTATGGCTGTACCTAATACTTTTCTTATTCTATATGCATATTTAGAGATAAATATGTCCGCTAACTTTCTCTTGCCCACCTTTAAAATATTGAACCAATATGGTTGCATTTCTGAAGTCCTAATGAAGTTTAGGTGGATTTAATGGAGGGTGGAATTGGCCAATAATAATGCCACCTCTTGAGAAATCTGAGATAATTCAAATTATGTCTGTATTTATTTTTAGAAATTGTTTTCAGGATCCAAAAAGTTAATGCAGTATATCTCAGCTCCTGGGCATTGTTTCCTAAATATATTTGCGGGGGTAAATGTCATGGTGCATGTTTGAATAAAAACAAGATGGTGCTGACTGATCTATGTCTGCGGTGGGTTTTAGGTTCCAAATATTAATATTGCCAACTTGATTTGTGACTTTCAGATATCTGAAGAATCTTGGATACTCCCAAGAAGAGATACATGCTTTTACTGCATAAACCCATACGAGGATATCAATGTTTGTTTGTATAATTCAGTGTTATTTATTTACCTTCATGAATTTAAATAAGTGAGAAGCAATTTTGTAAGACTTGAAATTTCATTCTTGGTACCAAACTGTTTCTCGGAAGAATTATACCTTTGAAAAAAATTTATACTGTGTTTTATCTTCTTTTTGTAAATATTTTTGCAATACTTAAGTCATCCAGGGTATTAATTTATTGTAGAGGCAAGCAAAAAATTATACTATACATTACATAAGATATTTCATGTTGTTGGTTTATGAGAATTCTTGAATTTATGAAAAGCGCTGATTTAGGTTTTGACTTGATAAAGCTTATTATTTCTTACTGTAAAATGTCTTAAGAGCAATACTGTCTGAAATTAAATATTGCACTGTAACTCAGGTAACTGGTCATTGAAAAGTGTTCTTTTTCATCTGATGTCTCTATTTGACTTGCAAGTGATCCAGATACATTTTTGGCTTTGTAAACAAAGAATAAAAGTACCTTTGGTAAAATATAAAATTTACATCAAATAATAAAAAAATAATAATTTTACATTACTTTATGCATTTCTGTAATTTTTTTTGTATAATGTCATACAGAAGGGTTTCCACAAGCTTGATACACCATCTGAGAACTCAAAACAGAGACACAGAGTCTTGGTCTCCCACAAAACTTCCCATGTAACCTCACTGGTATTGGGCAACCCTCGTCATCAGGCATTCTGAGGGTAAAAACAGCTTATAGCCCACAGGTACCAGGGTCAGGACCATAGAAATATATAAAAATATTTAACAGGTTGCACTAGTATTACATGAGGTTATTTTATTTAAATCAGTGTAGTTTTTACTCCATTATTAAAAGTGTATTATTGTGAGAAAATAATCTGCTGTCTAATTGCAGTTTGGAGAAAAAAGCAGTAAAGCATCTCTTCCCCTTCTAGATGTTGTCAGTAATATCTGTGGGCATTGTTTTGTATGCCATCCAGTACTCTTTGTCTTCCTGTTGTGTTGAATGGGTATTTCTTCCTCCTAAGCAGCCAGACTTGTAGCTGTGGCATTAATACTTCAGCATTCAAGAAAAATGTTTTAATGAAACCCTTTAAAAAGGTTAAATAGCTATCTGACAGTGACTGGCTATGCTAAACTGATCTGTCATCGCTTCAGTGCCCCATGTTTATTGGACTTGAAGTTAGAAAAGGATCTTGTCAGTCGTTGCCTATAGGTAACAAGTTCACAGAATCACAGAATCATTAAGGTTGGAAAAGACCTCCAAGATCTTTGAGTCCAACCTGTGACCAATGCCCACCTTGTCAGCCAACCCAGAGCACTGAGTGCCACGTCCAGTCGTTCCTTGGACACCTCCAGGGATAAGGACTCCACCATCTCCCAGGGCAGCCCCTTCTAATGCCTGACAACCCTTTCACTGAAGATATTTTTCCAATATCCAACCTGACAACTTGAAGCAGTTTTCCTCTCATCCTGTCCCTTGTTCCCTGGGAGCAGAGCCTGAGCCCCACCTGGCTCCACCTTCCTGTCAGAGAGTTGCAGAGAGCGAGAAGGTCCCCCCTGAGCCTCCTTTTCTCCAAGCTGAGCCCTCCCAGCTCACTCAGCTGCCCCAGCCCCTTTCCCAGCTCTGTTCCCTTCTCTGGACGCTCTGCAGCCCCTCAACATCTCTCTTGCAGTGAGGGCCCAGAACTGGACACAGCATTTGAGGTGGTACCTCAGCAACCCAGCACTGAAATGGCATTAGAGACTCCCCAAATCCCAGTGCCCACAGAAGGGGCTGAGGAAGCACCACTGGGGTCTCTGGTGACTGGATTGTGATCAAGTTACCAGTTCTGTGACCAAGGGAAGATTAAAAAGCCATGGCAAGATGCTGATGGCTGCAGCTGAACTGGGCTGTTTTTAAGGGGTTAAACCTGATTTACATGTCGTGGGGGTTTTGTGGGGTCTCAGTGACACAAAACACCAACGTTATTTCAGAAGAGATGGTGGTATTGTCATAATTTAGTCATCTAGAAGGATCTAAATGTTTTCAGTTATAATTTTGCAATGCCATATTTGTGGATGTTTCTACTATAAAGTTCTGAACAGGTTTCTCTTCCTCAGAGCAGAAGCATCAGTGATATGCTGGAAAAAGAAAACACTTTTGACTTTTATTATTTTTTCCTAAAAATATTCCTACTCAAAACCTGAGTGATACTGAGATGCTGATGTTACTGATGAAGAGCAGAAGATGACTGACATGCAAAAGATACATCCTTGGAGGTCTCAATATGCAAATGTTTTACCTTTGAAAACTTTTGAATGACTGCTGCTCCTAGTTAGCTTCTGATTCGCTCATTGTCAGTCACTAACAAGCACTGAATTCAGAAATCTAAATTTGGCCTGGTTAAGGGAACAGGCTGGAGATTCCTGCATGATATCATCCATGAACCAACATGAAGTTGTCACTTGGACCAGTGTGCTGCGAGGACACAATTACACAGGGGGAGAGAAAAAGGCTGATGATCCTGAGGTGTGACATGTTAAATAGTGAGTGACCATTTTTACTTTCTTTAGGGATGATCGTAGAATCATAGAATGGCTTGGGTTGGAAGGGACCTTGTACTGGTTTAAAAGTAAACCAGTGGGAGAAATGAACCCAACTCCAGAGAGATTATAAATCAGTTACAATTTACTAAAAGTAAATTACAATAGATGCAATGATACAGAGAATAACTGATTTTAATCCACAAAGACAGATGTATAAGCCAGTCCCCTGGGACAAGAACAGAACAGTGTTCATTGTCTCCTCGCATGCATTTTTTTCCTAAGCAAAACTGATATTTGGGAGAAGCCACGGAAACCACCATGTAGGTGTATCTTTTATCATACTAACCTTTTTTTAGGAAAATTCCTGCGTTACAGACCTGTGCAACACCCACCTTGTCACGGTCACAAACTTAGTGCATTGGTAACCTCTTCAGTGGCTTATGCTGCATGCAGCTGAAATAAAGTTTCATCTCCTCCCTCACAAGGTATATTGTCAGTATCTTGGAAATAAATCTGCCTGTTGCACCCTAATTTTGCTGTTTTGAAAACAACCAACCATAACCAAACGAAAACCTTAACCTTTCCACACAGATGTATGGAAGTTACACCCACAAAATCTGCACGTTAAATTACAATGTCTCATTCTTCTCTTGCAGATAGATCTGTAAGATGATTCTTCCAGCTGCATGGTGTGGGAAAAGGAGAATATTTTTGATTCTACGCACAGTCCTCATTGCTCTGACTTTGTCAAGGATGATATCTCTATGGGGATTCCTTCTAGACTGCTTCAGGACAACCTCCTTTAGCGTGGAATTCTATTTTTTCAACTGAGAAAATACCTGTTTAAGTATCTTTTTGCAACAATTGAAACCCAGATCACATCCAAGACAGTAATTGTGAGCAGCAATAATTTGATATCTGTAGTGGAGTTAAGTGGAGGGACACTCTTTTCCAAGTTCCAAAGTGGACTTTCTGCTGAGATGTTTGCTATACATCTGAAGCCCAGTTCACTGCCTAAATCTCCTATCTCGCTATTTAGGTCTTTGATCACTGGTGATGTAACGCAACAATATCTGACTGGAACTGAAGCAGAGGTTTTTCCAAGTGTCTGGAAAAATCCTTTGCATTTTACATCCTTTGGCTGTATCCTTTGGAGTCTTTCTGTGACAATAGTTATAAAGTGCTGTGAAAGCAGGCGTAGGTTTTAATTTTTTTTAACTGTCTTCAGGTTTTTCCTGTATATTTTTATTAAATATATATATATTCACTGCTAAAGGATTAATAGTTTTATGATTTTCCTGATATTACTTTAAGTGGTCTTATTAAAATAACTGTTTTCACACAATCATCAGCAAGAATAATCCTGCTTCATTTTATTCCTTTCTACAGATATTTAAATCTACTTGTAGGAGGGGTTATGTCATTTTCTAGGCTAGTCTGGAGAAATTTAGATTGAAAAAAACTCCAAATTCTCTGTATCTCCACCCTTTCAACTTCTTGAGCAGATATAAATATTAAAATTGCCAATCACCGAAGGAAAAAACCCTCAATTCATGTTTTTACAGATCTGTCTTGGAGTGTGTGATCAGTGGATTAACACTCTAGTCAGAATCCAAATTTACTTAGTCATGGGCCAGAGTAAATATTCCCTGGCTGTTTTGCCATACAGTCGTATGCAATACAGATTCTCTCAGTTAACCACCTGCCTTTCATTCTTTGATTTTCCTGTTATTGGACAAATTTCATGTTTTGCCAGCAGAAGTTTCAGGGCAGGCCTGGGTGCTTAGTTCCTATGGAAACAGACTAATGTCTTCACACAAACTGGACATGCTGAGTTGCTGTGGCAACACAGGTACGAAATTCTAGTAGGTGTAGAAAATGTTGAGTCTGTGTTGACTGCTAAGTCTGAGCATCTGGCATCTGCCAGTAGCAGGTGCTGGATGCCCCAGAAGGGAGTGGAGAGGACTCTAGGATGCAGATGATGGCCTTAAGCCTTTAAAATGGCAGAATCTTCCTCCCAGCTTGCATATCTTTCTGCATTTAACCATGAGAAATGCACTTGTATTGTGTGTTTTGTAGCTTCCCAGGGGATTTATAGATTCTGTTATTGATGATTGGGCTTGCAGAGGTCAAACAGGAATGTCTGGTTTTTGTCACCAACTTGCAAATGTTTCTAATTGAAATGTACCGTATGGCAATCCTACCTATATTTGCATCTGGAGATAGAAAACAGGGTCCTGTTGGAAATATTTTCTCCTATTTGAAATACAGAATGCATTTCAAATGCAGTGAGAAGAGGCAAGGAAGATCTAGTCACTGTAGATTTAAAAAAGAAGTTTGAATCACTTACTGTGCTGGTTTAAAGGTAAACCAGCAGGGGAAATGAACCCAACTCAAAAGAGAGATTTTAAGTCAGAATAACAATTTAATAAAATAATACAATAAGTACGATTATACAGACAAACAATTGGTTTTAACCCACAAAACCCAAATGTATAAGCCGGCACCCTGGGGCATGAACAGAGTGGTGTTCATTGGACCCCCTGAGTCCAAAGTAAAAGGAGAGGGGAAAAACCTGTTGGTGAGAGTGCTGTTGCAGTCTGGTCAAGAGTGGTGGTTGCAGTCCAGTCGAGAGTGGTGGTTGCAGTCTGGTTGAGAGTGGTGGTCTGCAGTCTTCCTCTGGATCCCACGAGTGGTTAAAAAAGTCCCAAAACCCCAAGATTATATATCCTCCAGTTCAGGCAGGAATGCCCAGTACCTCCCTCAGGGCGGGGAGTTCCACAATGGGTGTGAGGACAGGAGCATCCTCTTATCTCGCAGGCCTCTTAACACCCAGTTTATAGCCTGAGGAGTCAGGCTGCTCTGGGCAGATGGTGTAAATGGTCTATTGATAACAGTTTCTTGGAAATGGCATGGAGGGCTATAGAATACACAGTTTTGGGTTACACCCATCCAGTGATGAACTGGTCCCAGCTGTTCTAACTAGGACACTTACAGAAGATACAAAGATAGGTACATATTCA